AAGTCTAAAGCCTTTCAAACCATTTAATGAGAAAGCCATGGATATCAACAGCAGAAGGAAAAAATCTAAAATGGGAGGAAGATGCCTACATCCTACCATGCTAATTTATATTGTTAGAGAGAAAGTAAATGGCAATGTTAGCTGTGCTGAGGATTTTCAAAAGTTGTATTTATTTTTGGCTTCCTTTCAAAAATAATGTTTCAATAAATATGCAGCACGCTGGGTTTGTGGCACTGGTAGTGTGTCCATCACCATGGCACCTGAGCACTCAAGCAAATGATTAACCATCAGAGCAAATGAAACAGAAGCTGAGAGCCATCAGGCACTGTGACAAGCTCTTCATAGACCTTACAGTATGCCAGTGCATCTCTGTCTGGACTTTTACTCCTTCAGGCTTTCCACTGTCCTATCTTTCCAATTCTTATGATAACCAGGTCTTTTTTTCAAGCAGTGATAAAGGATGTAGAGATCTCAGATTGGCTTTGGAGAAAGAAGGAGATTAAAAAAAACCAACAAAAAACAACAACAAAAAACAACCAAACCAACCAACCCAAAAACCAATACACACTTTCATCAGGAAAACATTGCTTAAGGACACAGTAAGGAAAAAAATAATTTTCATTTGTACAAACCAATTATGAATCGACAAACTTTGTTATGTCTGCCCTGCCATCAGCTTAACCCTTAAATTACTTCTCTGAAGAAGGAAAACGAGTCTTTCTTCACTGAGGGCCAATATGATCTTTCAGGAGACTGATGCAGACCATACTTCAACACTATTGTTAGCATTATCTAATAATAATGAAAAGAATACATAAAAACATATGGCTACGTGCCTTCTTCAAAAAGTCTGGAGATCGCATCAGGCCCTCCCCACACTTCAAATAAGCAGCAAGTTAATGACAACTCCACTGATGTTTGTTTAACATATGTGCATATAACTACTGTTAGCTTTTTATGGCTTAGGATGCTTAAGCAGAGACCTCTGAGGTTTTAGGAAAAAAAAAAAAATCTTCTGTTGAATCATCTATCCTTTGCTGTTTTGTTTTGTACAAAATCTCTGAGGGGCACAGGAAAGCAGAGGGCCTCGCACGCAGGCCAACTTTACAAAGGCTAGATCCTTTCACTACTGGAGAATTGAGCAGTTATAATACAACACTCACTGTTTTCCATCACCAATCAAGGCAATGATATTGCATACTAATTAAATTGGTGTCACATGGAGTTCTTCCTCTTTACTGTAGCTGCTTCAGACTTAGGAGATAGTTACATCCTCTCCATTCCAGTTTATCCTTTAAAGAGGAGTAAGTTTTGGGGACAATGCCACATCGCCAGCAATGAAGATTCAAGTTCTCACTTCCCAGGGCAGGTACAATGTGCTGTGCTACCACTGTGCCTCAGCAGCAGTTTTGAAGCACATAAGGAGCAATGCACTGCCCATCTATATTTGACTGTGAAACTCTGGATTAAAGTTCACTCCAAGCATCACTCTGATTCTGTTACCTCTCCTGTGTCTAAATTATATCCAACATTGTCATCTCTAAAGATTCAGATCTTCTGCACACTTCATCAGGCATTATAATCGAAGCTAATGAAAGATATGTTTGTTTAGTGGCTGTAAATGGCTTTGAAGATCTCAGTTTGAGCAAGGGTGTCAGCTGGGCAAACAGTTTAATTTCGAATGAACTTAGCTAAAATGGATTACTGAAAAACCAATATGGATTTTTCAAATTCATATTATTTCACATACTCTACCAGTAAATATTTTACCCCTTCTTGCCATCTGAGTCACCAAGCATAAACGGAAAGAATCAGCAATGACATTCAGCTTCTGAAACATGAGACTAACTTTGGTGACTATAGGTGTAAGAAGCCACTTTTTGACTGCAGCAGGGAGTATAGCCCTCAAACAATTTAGCCCTCGGCTGACTAAATTTCTGCATAACAACAATTCTGTAAAACAGCCTGAGCATGGTAATCAAAGCATTTTATAACAAAATTCAGAAAGTAACAACTGAAAAGAACTATTCCATAACACAGTTATTTATTGGAAGCACCTGTTTTTTTTATTCTCCCTGGTCCATTTTCAATGAATTAAAATAATAACTTAAGGGGAAAGAAAATTATCTTAAAATAGTCGTGGGGGTTTTTTCCTCTCTCAGGTAATTTGGAGCCAGGAAGAATCCAAAATAACAGCATGATTGTTGAAAATCATAGGGTAAGGTTGGAAATGTCTAGAGGTCATCTAGTCCAACCTCATGCTCAAATCAGTGCCACCTTAGAACAGGTAGGTCAGAATTAAAAGGGAAAGAAAATAATTTAAAGAAAAAAAAATTAAAGAAAAAGAATTTTAAAAAAAATTAAGTTTTACTCTATCCCCTTTTGCACCAGAAGGGGAGGAGGGAGTAAGGAAATATTTTCTTGAAACATATAGCTCTTCTGTGTTGTTTATTAGTAAATATGACCAACATGGAAAATAGATTAAAGCTTCCTCCTTTGGTTGACCTACTTCCCTTACTGTCTTGATGTAGGTAACATTTAAGCACAATGTGTGGCAAACTCCAACTCAGTTGCCAGCGCTGCTCTGCCACACTGCTGGCCAGTAAAGGCTAGGAATGCTGCAAATTCAGCTCCAGTGACAGAGAAAATGTTCCATTCATTAGCAGTCCCCTCCAAGTTAATCAAGGAACAGAGCCAACAGCTGCTGAGGAGGGTTCCACCCCATCTTTCCCTGGGAAAGCAAGGCCTCTAGGGCAGGGCCTGGACTGTACAGCAAAGAAGAATAGGGTGGGGAAACCTTGCTAGAGCTCAGTGAAACCCAGATGACTCATCAGAAAGTAAAACATTTCTATTTTGGCAAGAGGCTGAAATAGCAGCCCTGGGTTGTGCTGCAACACAGCAATAAATGACCCTGAGCACTTGGGACAAACTCCTGTGCACATTGATATTCCTAATGGTAGGAGCTATTTCACATCTCATTAAACAAAGAGGTTTACATGACAATTAACACATTAATTAGCACCATCTTTTTCACAGTTGGAACTTTGCCTTGAGATTTCAACATTTTTAGACAACTGTTCTGTCAGTGAAAATGAAAGAATAGTTTTTTTATGACTCAAGGTCATAAAAAGGTGACACTCTAAGTGACAAGGACTCCTACGCAGAACTGGCATAGAAGTATATTTATCTATGTACTGAAGGACACTGCAACCAGTCAATGGCCTTTCTCATAACTTCCATGCGAGGAGGGCCTCGCTGTACAATCTGCACCCTGCCATTCAAAGCCTGGCCCTCACCCTTGGCAAGGTGCCAGGCTGGACACTTCATATGCTGACCATAAACAAGCCTAATGTACCCCAAAGTCACACAGGGGCAAAGCAAAGCCTGGATTTCAACAAGCAGTAGCTCCCATTCCTTAGCCCCAGCCGCTGACCTGTGTGGCTCCCCACTACAACAATCCCTTCCACTGTATCTGTAGAGATACGACCTGTGGGAAAACTCTTCAGCAAACACCAAAAAGCAACACTGCTAAATTCACTGAAAATAGGTAACAGCTATAAGAGAATGTTTATTGCCCAAGAGCTTCACAGTTTAGATAAAGAACTAGTAACTTCTGTGAGTTGGCACACAAGTATAGATATCCTTAAACTGCACGTGTATTTCTCAGGTTTTTGTTCAATACCATCTTTAATTTCTATTTTCTTTTGAGAGAATGGATTTGCAAGTATACAAGAAGACATAGAATACTGGAAATGGAATGAAGGGAATTAAAAACTGGAAACTGGAACTTGTAGCTTTCAAGACCAGGTGGATTCTGATATTCATGGGGTCTATTCCCTATCAGATGGATATTGCCAACCCATGGAAAATAGTGACATGGTTTGTACATGTTATCTTTTACCTCCTTCAGGTATATACTACAAAGAAGCATGTATAAACAATAATAAACAATGTATAAACTAACAATAGACATATTAATCTTTTACATGTTTTGGCACTCAAGGCACAGAAAAATCATTGTGTCATAGCCTTACCTATCATACCACTTACAAAATGAATCTATGCTCAGGAGGAACACCAGATAACTTTTCCTTTAATTAGGTTTTCAAAGCTGATGATACTTTTTAGAATATGATTTATTTCTTTTATTTATCGCCCTGCCTTGTTTCAGATGGATAGTGTTTGACTGACCTCTAGATACCCTTGCACTTGCTCTGTGATATCCCCAGAATGTCAATGCTTTGATTCTTCATCTTTCATTTCCTAAACGTTTCTTATTGGTCACTTCTGCTACCAGTGGCAGCTGAAGTGGAAGTTTATCCTCTGATAATCTGTACTGCTTTAATGGTTCCCACCATCCTGAGGATATTTTCCAAGTGTTATGGTGACACCAGCTGAGATCTTGGCAACAGAAAAGTGTTTCATATGTTTATTTCCTAACTTAGTCTCTTGGGTTTTTTTCTGCTTTCCCAAGCCTCTGTCACTCCCTTGATTTCCATGGCTCAACTCCTTTTGTTATTGCTATATTCTTTGTTATCATTTCTCAGTATCTTTCTGATTATAAAGCCTTTGAAGAACCTGAGGGCATTGCCAACATGCATCCAAAAATCTTAGTAAAGAGATGAGCAAAAATCTCCGCTAAAAGGAACAATAATAGTTACATCTTATTTATATATTTATCTGTAAACCAGAGGAACTATAGCACACAAACCTTGTAAAATAATGAGCATGTTTCAAACAGTTTTAATATAAAATATCACACATAAAACAGCTCACCAGTTTTAGCATGTCTCCAAAATAACGTATGCTTAGAAATGCTTATCCTTGTAGCATCATTATCCCTTCTTTTTTTCCAAGAGGAAATTAATCTTGCACCAGCATGCCCAAAAAAGCAAAATTCTCATCTAATTTCAATCACTCACTCAGTTTGCTCGTGACTTTTATACAGCTGACTGAACATCTATTATCTCACCCGAAAGAGAAGCTGTGAGTTTGCTCACCTCGGTCACCTGCAGGATTTTTGAAATGCCTCCTCTTCTGTTCCTTCCAAAGAGTGCCTTTCTGCATCTCCCAGTCCATTCCCGAGTCCACTGAACATGCAGACATCAATAAGTTCTGGCTAAGTTATCCCACGTAACTCTGAAGAAAAAAAGGAGACCCTTGCAAATGCTGCAGAAGGTCTTCTTTACTCTCTCAGAAAATTTTGTTTCCTTGGTAGTCTGTCACAGTCAGGTCTCCGGTAGTAAACTGAACAACCTATCCTCCTGGCTCTTCTTTTCTTCTTTTTCTTTTCTGTAAACACATAATCAGGGCTTCAAATCCTTTAGGCATCACAAAACTGTATTTCTCTATTGCCCTCTACTGACTGCTGGGTAACGCCGCCTTCCCGGAGAACTGGCGAGCAACAGATACACGGTAACGCGTTCCCCCGCCGCCCTCCCTCGGATCGATCATGATACACGATGACCAAAAGTCAACACAAATCATTCTATTTTTCTCTTTGTTACAGAACACAAGGCAAGATTTACAGCTTCTTGGCCAGCCGTGGTAGCTGCAAAACACTAAACAACAGAAGCAGGAAGCAGTAACACGGCTCTGCTAATGTGTGTGGGGGGGGTGTTGTTGTTTTTTGCGAACAAAAGCCAGGAGAAAGTACAGAAGAATGCATTCTTCCTTGAAATGCAGATGAATTCACCCCATTGATGCCACAAATACTGTACGAGGGATCTGAATGTTATCTGATTTTAAGGGTTTGGTCCTGCCCGCACTGGATGCACAGAAATACTGACTTTTGATGGGAGTTCTGCATGAAGGGGCTGGTAGAGAGCCATGTATTTAAGGCCATGGGTTTTGGTCATTTCCCCTTTGTGTCTGAGTTCTGTTTAGCACATTCAGCACCGCACCTAACATGGGAAACATCATGTGACAGGATCCGGGGCAAGACACATACTGTGTATGAATGGCACTGGGAGTGGCTGTTGGCACTGCTTTTCGGACAAAGATGATCTATTATGCAAAGAGAACCCAGCGAACTAAGATTAAAAAAGGGAATGGCCCAAAGTTGTTTCAGGAGCAGAGGAAAAAAAAAATCAGCATTTCAGCCAGACTGTAAGAGATTGAGAAGAAAAAAGCAGGGATAAGAAGAGTGTAAGAGTGTGGGGGAGGGGGAAGCAGTTGGTGGAGAAATCAAAATTAATCCTTTGCATTGTATTAGTCACTGCTTAATAAGTAAAGCACAGTGCTTGGTAAACAGGTCACTCCGGCACTTGTTCTCACCAAAAAAAATTTAAACCAGGGTGCTGGTGCAAGTGTTCTGGCCCACCTGCACCATTCCAGGGGCAGGAAGAAGTCAGTCCGTCAGCTCCAGGCAACAGAATAAATCCCCAGCACATTTCCCTTTTGCTAGGCAGAGGCTGGGAGAGAACATGGCATTATCTTGCTGTACCATTCCTTCTCTGCAACCAACTCTCTTAGGGAGCAAGCATGGTTAAAAAATTATAAAAACAGACCCACCCCTCAAAAAATTGTTGGAACTATTTTTCCGTACTTGCGTTCAAAAAATACATTCATTTTTTCCCCACCAATATTAATAACCGGGAATATTTAATTTGCCAAAAAATCTGTTGCCTGATGAACACTGGTCGTGCTTTAAATAGATATTATACGACATCCCTGCTCTTCCACTTAGGAAAGATAGAGTTCACATAAAAACTATGATCAACCAAGCCAGCAACATGGCAATAAAAGTTTAGTATTGAAAGGTTCATTGAAAAAAATTATTTTCAATTCAAAGATAAAGTCAGCAGAGGCCCTAATTGTAGCTATTAGGAACATTTCATTAACAAGCCAGATTTACTGACTGCATTGTAAAGCTCTATTAAAGGAAGCCCTGAAATTCCTTTTTGCCCCATGCTTTTTCTATGTCTAAAGCTCTTAGCTATTCCATGTTAGAAAATAAGAAATAATTGTATTTATTCAAATTCCTTGATAGAATATCGAAGCCTGCTCAGCTGAATACCTCTCCTAAATGAACACCATTACCAATAGATCAAAGGAGGAAAACGTCTATCAAATGAATGGGGCCGAGGACACACATCAAACGGTGAAAAGCTGAGGGTTTGTTTTTTGGTTTTTGTTTGGTTGGTTTTATTTAATGGGAGCGCATTTGCAGAGCGATAAAGCAAGTATGCAGTTGCCAAAATTCATAGAAGGGCACCTCAAATAGAGCGGGCGACGGGTTAAGCTCAGCACTCCCGAGCATCAGGCGTCACTCTGGAGCTGCTGCTGCTGCAAATCCTTCACGTGACAATCCCTGACAGAAACATCCGTAGGGTTTGTTTTTTTTTTTTTTTCCCCCCCCCCATAGAATCACAGAATAGTTAGGGTTGGAAGGGACCCCAAGGCAGGGTCACCCAGAGCAGATGACAGAGGAACGCGTCCAGGTGGGTTTGGAATGTCTCCAGAGAGAGGGAGACTCAGCGACGTCCCTGGGCAGTCTGTTCCAGAGCTCTGCCACCCTCAACGCCAAGTTCTTCCTCATGTTTTTTCCCTGGGGTAAAAGTTTTCTTCCCTACAGGCAAAACTTTTCACGCCGCTGGAGACACAGGCGGCTCCCGAGCACGCACTCCCCGTTCCGAGCGGGCGGCGCGGTGAGGGCCGGGCTCGGCTCCCCCCCGGCCCCTCCGCCCGCCGAACCCCCGGGGCGGCCGCGGGGCCCC